CTGTCTGCGCCTTTTCGAAATATAAATCTTCTAATTTGATAGGGGGTTTATTTGGATTATATCTCAGTTCTTCACCACATGCTTGGCAATTGTACCAGTCATCACCAATTACATATTTGTGTTCACACTCTTTAGTTTTCAAGTCTGAAGAAACTTCTGTGTCTGGACTAAAACAATCTCATTATTTCCTCCATTTCTTCCGTCATGTCCATATTTATTTTAATAAGTCTTCCTTTTAACCCCTTTTAAATTGATTGATAATGTTGTTGTCATGTCTATACATAAGTGCATGAGGTGCAAAAATCAAAAAGTCTTGGTGCTGCCAGTTCTGGGGGCGGATCTCTATTGGCGGAGTTCGAAGAGGCATGAGGGATTCAGGACAGCAGTTGGGATAGGACCAGTTGGTGATACCCTTGAAATGTTCAGTACGTAGCCGAGCTATTATAGAGGAGAGGTTTCTTGGGCGGATCTCTATTGGCGGGAGTTCGAAGAGGCATGAGGGATTCAGGACAGCAGTTGGGATAGGACCAGTTGGTGATACCCTTGAAATGTTCAGTACGTAGCCGAGCTATTATAGAGGAGAGGTTTCTTGGGCGGATCTCTATTGGCGGAGTTTGAAGAGGCATGAGGGATTCAGGACAGCAGTTGGGATAGGACCAGTTGGTGATACCCTTGAAATGTTCAGTACGTAGCCGAGCTATTATAGAGGAGAGGTTTCTTGGGCGGATCTCTATTGGCGGAGTTCGAAGAGGCATGAGGGATTCAGGACAGCAGTTGGGATAGGACCAGTTGGTGATACCCTTGAAATGTTCAGTACGTAGCCGAGCTATTATAGAGGAGAGGTTTCTTGGGGGCCTTACCAAAATGCTGATCCTTCGCCTGGCATCTGTACAGGTGACTTTTGAGGTTGCTCTTTATCGCATAGTGACCGTGAGCCAAGGTATGGATACCATCTGGTAATATGTGCCGCTTGTCATCATCTCCTGAAAGGGCAATCTTATTTACTTGTATGGAATGAATATTATGTTTTGTGCTTCTAATGAGATTCATAGATCTGTACTGTTTTTGATGTGAGAATAGACAGTTTTTTGTAATCCTCGAAAGTAATTCTATTTTTCACTACACATTTCTTAATACCTTTTGATTTTTTAACTAAGTCTTTTTCAGTTTTACAGGCATACATCTTAGATATTAAGCCAACGTACTCTTCCAAGATCCCCCCTGCATTTTCATCCTTCATCTTCCCCAAAACCTTTTTATTAACTCGCGGCATTCCATACCTATTATCCTCCGGATAATCAAACGTGTCAAAATGTTCAAGCATTCCTTTCATATCTTCATAGAAATCATCAGTTTTATATCATAGATGAAACTATCCGTATCCATGTACAACAGTATAATGTTTTTCCCATATTTAGGTGCCATCACATTATAGTGGAAGTCGTACATTAAAGTTTTGGATAAATCTAAGATACTCATTCCAACATAGATAGGTTTATCAAAGAGTACTGCAGTTTTTGTATATATGTATAGCGGCTAAATTTTCTTCAAATATGGTTCTTCCTTTAAAATTTGGTTTAGCAATAAGTTTTTCGGCTTTCTCCGCATCACAGCACAGTTTGATATCAAGCCTTTTTCTAATATTTTCCATTGTCTTACCAAACACACAGAGTTGTTCATGAGTTTATAGAAATCTTTTCAAAGTCATTAGTTGCTTTAGTTCTCATTTCAGTGTTCAAGTCGATATATGTCTTCAGCCAAGGTGCTTGCTTATACTCTAATACCCTGTGTACTTTCTTCAATTTTAAGCCCATTTGTAAAAATTGTTTCAAACCCCTGTAATGAACCACATAATGATCTTTGTCATATAAGGTTGTTAGTATTTTGTATGTTTTGAGCCATCAGGAACTCTGTTCTCAGCTCCTAGTGGGAGGTCTGAATGGAGATCATGCAAATATTCAGGATATTCCAAGTCGCATTCTAAGATATAACCCACATCTGAATCGTCGGGGATCGCTGTTACATCTATATCGGTATCCCCCCACTTGAAGCCGCCATATGGTAGAAATTGGCTCATTGCCCATCCATACAAGTTATTGGCATCTAGGTAGATTAAATAATTAGATTCTTTACTTCTGTCATAGTCTTTCATATATTTATTATTAGCTTTCCCATACCTATTACAACACTAAGAAATCCCACCTCTGGTTCCTTTTTCTAACATTAAAATCATGTTATAATCAGTCAATAATTCTAATTCCTTTCCAGTGGTTTTTAACATAGCATCCCAAGAGAGACCGGGTGCAGTGAAGTACCATGCAGGATCCAATTTGTAAGTCCTTATGCAGACATCTCTAAAATGTTCCATAATATCAGCTAAGATCAGTACATCAGTCTTCACATACAAATCAGAATACTCACCTAAATTTTTAATGTTGAAGGTCTTCCATACTGTTTGGCATGTGCATAGTCCTCGTGTGATATATCCGACTCAGTCATTTTGTTGTAAAATTCTTTTTGTTGGGTAGTCGTGTTTCGTCACATTTATCCCACGAGTCCATATAATCATACGGATACACACCTTTTCTGGTAACGAGGTCCAATTTGTCCTTGGGAAAGAATTTGGCTGTTTCTCTGAATTCTTTCACATTTTTGGCTAAACTATCAATGCTGCTAGCCATGAACTTAAAAGAATCCAGAAACCTCAACTTTATTCCGGGTAGCTTGACCTTTTTACCATCAAACTGCATCTACCCATTCCGCTCCAACCTCTTTGCTGAATGAAATGTATTTTTCCTCAGTGTTTGGAATGACATCGATATTCCCATTATCACCACCTAGCTCTTTTATGAATAAATGAGAATCGTACCCAGATAAGTTGTGAATGAAGACAGGAATGAGGGAAGGGTATTGGTACATTAAGTTACATAATTTATGAGCTGGCCCTCTATAGTTTGATTCATGTTTGGATGGATCGAGTAAATGGTCATGATCCATTACTTTTTGGAAGTCCTCAGAGTCTTTCGGCGAATATGGTGATGGTACTTCTTTGATGTTAAACCCGCAGATATGACATATATGGGTTCTCTTGAAATGCCTGTCATCTTCATCAGTAATTTTGATTGGGTGCTTCTTATCATAAATTTTCTTTATCTCTAAGGCCTCAGCTTTCAACGTTTCGTAAAATACTTTAGTTGCATTTGGACCTCTATATGTGATAGGCGGTTTGTAGTCTCCGTGCTTATATTTAATGTAAAGTGAGAAACTCATGGGTTCATGTTTTTGGTACTTCTGCATGTAAGAGCTCTTGGGATCTGGCTGACATGTATCTATCTTAGTTGTTAAACTTTCAAAATCTGCATACATTACAAAAGGTGCTCGTAGCGATTTATGGTAATGTTTGAACTTTAATTTTGAATCTTTTTCAGGCATTACTATTTTAACAGCCTGATTTTTCTTACAATCCTTTTCATGCGTTTGAAGATCTTCCTCAGAGTGAAAAAATAACAGGCACCTTTCACATGGGTATACTCTTCCATTATGCTTGGTTAATTGCCTACATATTAATTTGGACATGTCTTTTATCCAACAGTAATGACTGTTCCCTTTCTCGTTTCTTATGTAAAGTAAATTGACATGCTTATCTACTTTATGCTTAGTTATTCTTAAGGGGTATATGTTAGTCTTTTCATCGTATGAGTATATGTTCACTGATATGTTATTCAATTTTCGAACCTTTCGAGTACTCTGTCTTCCATCTTTACTGGGTATTCAATGCCTTCGAACTTTAGCTCATTTTCATATGGCTTATATTTGGTGACTCTTGGGCATCTTTTTCTGCTGGATGTAGTGCAGACAGTATCGCCCATTTAAAACACTCATTATCATTCTCATTTTTTACGTTTATGACTGCTTTTTTAGCTTTAATCACTTTTGACAAATCAATGTAGGATGATCCTCTCAGTGGGGTGTACTTATTGATCCTCACCTCAAGACTTTTGATTCTAGCAAGCGTCCAACCTGAACCCCTTGCAACAAACTCCTCCATCTCCGTCAATAATTTTTGGATAACTGATCTGTAATAAGCTACCAAATCAGTTGATTCTAAGATGACTTCATTTTTGTTTTGAAGTTTTTCTCCTTTTCTGTCATCGTTTCATCTTTCCCTTTTTCATAGTCACAGAGAAATTGGAAATTAACCTTCAAGCCATGCAGCCTCTTCAGATGTTTTGTAATAAGACCCCGGACCAGTGATGAAACATCGTTCAAGAAGTCTTTGGGAAGCATCAGATTGTGCTCATTTTGGACATCATACGTCACCAAACGGTTTTCAAAAGCCGTATCAATTTCATTGGGGGTATATAGCCTTCTCTCTCGCGAATCTGAAAACAGGTCGGAATCAAATTCGAAGTGACGGTTGAACAAAACGCTTTCTATGTATGCTTTGATGTCTGCCTTCCTCCGTAGTTTGGAATAGCCTGCGATGCCACGCGATCGACAAAATTCACGTAGTTGGTTAATGGTCATATGATGCAGCCCCTGCATATTGTCAAAATCATCTCTGTGAACCTCCTGGCTGGCCTTCTTAGGCTTATAGTTTTGATGAGCTTTAGTTTGTAAGTGCTTATTTATGCTAGATTCCTTTATTAACTTTCCACAACACCTGATTTTTAGCTCCCTCTTCTTCTTTCGCTTGATAAACAAGTGATTGTGGAACCTGGAAAAGCCGTTGTGGTATTGAATGAGGGCGATCAGTTCCACCTTTTTAAGTTTCGAGTATCCTCGAATATCATTTTCTCGACAGTAATCTTGTAACTGTCGAACTGTTTTTGATTGAAAATCCATTTTGTCTTTCTATATACTGCAAACCTTCTCTTTAAATGCTTTTATTATTCACTAGGTATTATTAATCAATTACCCATTGTCTCTCCTTTGACGCTCTAGAAGCCATACATAATGGTGCACTGATGGTATAAATTAATACCCTCACTAAATATACCATGCCAGTGGATTATGTGGGGGACGAATGTCCCCTTGCAAAAGAAGCATGCGATGAAGAGGAAAAGTGGCGTTTGTAAAAGCGGCGTTTTGGAAAAGTAGCGTTTGTAAAAGTGGGTTCGATTTTAATGGAGGGTTGGAGAGCCATCACATTCTAAAAGTGGGTTCGATTTTAATGGAGGGTTGGAGAGCCATCACATTCTAAAAGTGGGTTCGATTTAATGGAGGGTTGGAGAGCCATCACATTGTAAAAGTGGGTTCGATTTTAATGGAGGGTTGGAGAGCCATCACATTCTAAAAGTGGGTTCGATTTTAATGGAGGGTTGGAGAGCCATCACATTCTAAAAGTGGGTTCGATTTTAATGGAGGGTTGGAGAGCCATCACATTCTAAAAGTGGGTTCGATTTAATGGAGGGTTGGAGAGCCATCACATTCTAAAAGTGGGTTCGATTTTAATGGAGGGTTGGAGAGCCATCACATTCTAAAAGTGGGTTCGATTTTAATGGAGGGTTGGAGAGCCATCACATTCTAAAAGTGGGTTCGATTTTAATGGAGGGTTTCGCAGTCATTGTTTCGCCCCCAAAGGTCACTGCGCCAGCTCTCTCATTTGTACACTACTATCTGGAAACCCAAAATTGGAATTTCTTTTCTTGTCAATTTCATATTTTGTAAAGCATTTATGAGTTTTTGATTAACAAACTCAAAGATTTCAAAGCGGGCAATAGCAACACTGTACTAAAAAAACAAACGTTTTATCTCCAGCGCGCGAGACTGCATTTTTTTAATTCAAGATTCCAGATATTTTTTTAATTCAAGATTTTATTCAAGATTTCCAGATGCAAGCAGTTTTTTCAAATTACTCTTATGAGATCAGTACTTTATACTGAAAATCTGATTTCAGTACTTAAGTTTTGAAAAACAGGCCACAGAGAATATATTAATATTAATAATATATGGGATAGAAGCTGAAATAAGCGATACAATAGTTATAAGATTCTGTCTGTCAGAAAAGCAGCTAACTGAAAACGTGAATCTTTTATCATGATCTCTAAGACAGGAGGTCTATAATTATGTGAAATTTCAGGGCCAGATTAGCGGTAGGACGCCTTATTTCTAAGCTAATTAAACGCGCTTTGGATTGCAACTTTCATTAATTTCCGCTATTTTGCCCCCATTAGTTTTAGAATAGATGAAAACTGTTATCCAGATTATGACAAACCAGCTAAAGTGCTACCCTTCTAAATTTATTATACTTATCTACCTCAATTAAGTACACACTAAAGCAAAGGAAATAATGCACCAAGAAGGAGTTCTGTTTTGATCCAATATGCAAATGATTAAATTATGGCAGGCAATAAATGAATAGAAAGAGCTTCACAACATCGCAACTGAACTTCCAAACATTGTATAAAAACAGAATTCCAATTTGATTCTGTCTACTCGCTGCGACTGAACAAATGACTAAAAATGTATTTGCACATAATATGAGCATATGTCACCAACTGAGAAGAAACGTGCAAACCGTTTCAAAGAAGCTGGATGCCAAACCGAAAGATCACGGTTTTGGGGGTCAAAGGAATGCCCCCTTTCGACGATGTCGCTATGAACGGTTCAACCGTGGCAGAGCGCATTGCCATACAGCGAGTAGTCGAATCTAAGCAGAGGAAAAAACGTAAGGACAGAGCAACTGTCATGAAAAACATTACAATAAAACAACGTCTTATTTTCATCTTATTCTAATCAGGACAGCGGTAGCCGCAAAAACCATTTATAAGTAACTGGAACAGGATCTGCGCTTACGATGACCAATAAATACTCCGATTAACCCCCCAAGTACACGACGTTGGAAACTGGTCCGAGAGGTTCCAAAGTGGTCGTGGTAACTTTTACGAAATATTGTAATCTATAATTATGTGATATTTAATTGTTTAATATTAAAAAACACTAAATACTTTTTATTGATTGCAAATTGCAGTTTTATTACTTTTCGTTTGGTATCTATTCTTCCAAACACTGTGTAATTCGCGTGTTTTTATATAATGCCGTTATGTATGTTTATTAAATTATCTCAATAAATGAATGTTGGAAATCAGGTTTTATATTTTATTAAATTTAAGTATATTCTATTGCCGTTATGTATGTTTATTAGATTATCTCAATGCATGAACGCTGGAAATTAGGTTTTATTTTTTATTCGCGCAAAACAGTGGATATTCGCGGACATCTGGGCGTCTTAAAGACGACATATTGCAACGTTTTTGCAACGGCATCCGCGACGAGTTTGCAACGTCGTTACGACGTTGCTGTGCTACTTAGGCGTTAACCCGTACACATCGACAAACGAATTTTCAGTAGTTTAGGCTCGTTCAATCTGGAATCTTATTGTCTGGAGTAGACATGAATCTATTCAGCAATGAATTCCTCGTCGAAATGATCTACAATTAACAGTGAAGACGGCTAGGACATCGATGGGTTATTGACCTCACTGTAGGCCGTCATAAAGCCAGACAATAGTAAGTTAAATTTATGGGTACCATTTCATTTGATAATCAGAATCCATTGGTTATCGCCTGTGACACCCTTACAGCACGAAGGTATGTTAACGATATTCTAATTTGAGTCGTGCTTCATTTCGAGGTATTTGGGGCCTTTATTTTAACAGTTTAACGCCAGGATCTGTACTGCCGTTTGGCTTGTCAAAACCTCACTTTCTCTCTGATGTGCAAGATCCTTCTATCGTAGCAAGATGTCGCCATTCTAATTCGGTAGTTGGAGAAAGAGTTTGGCAAGAAATACCTCATGAAGTAATCTGCAAAATCTACGAATTACTTCCAAGCCGAATATCAGGTGACATGAAAGCCAAAGGTGGCCCATCGCTCATATTGGTTTGTTCTCTCTATATAACTCTATCAACAGCAGCTTTCCCAGCGTTGTTACACGGACAAACCGTCACTCTGCAAAAAATGCATCACAAACCCAGAAAGACCACAGCCTAGAATGTAAATATATGCTAATCTTGTGAGCATAATTACAAGCTCTACGTGAATGTATGATTTATGCATCTAAGTGCCAATCTGTGTAACTAAGATGTGGTTTTAATCAGCTGTGAGTAATTGTACTCCTTCCGGTAAAATGTCCACCAAGCCTATTCCCCGAAAACAGGATAACCGCCGGGTACCACCTGGCTTCCGTTAATAATGCTAATGTTGTGTGTGTTATGTATAAGTTCGGTAAATGAGTAATTATTTTAAGTAAAATAAATAGATGGATAGCTGACGTCGTACCGAAAACGCATTTGGTTTATTAAGGTAAGAGAATTCCTCTGTATCTATTAAGACGTCACAAGCTTATAGGAATATTCCTTCAAGATGATAGGGTATGATTATACCTTATTTTGTTGCCACTTTTGCGTACGCAAGTCAGGTTTTTTTTCTTTACTGTTGCATTCTGTAACAACACCTGTAGACGCCATTGAGCACTGCATGATCATCATGGCATTTTCTTCTAAACTCGTTTTAATCAATTAATTAAATGTATAATTACACTGAGCATTATGTTATCTTAGTAAACCGGTATTATTTATTGTCAACTGAGTAACACTTTCTTTTATATTTCTTTGAGTATTACTACCGCTTTTTCGTAATATCACTACTACAATATCCTTCCTACTAAGAACTGATTATTGCATTAAAAATTCCCTACAGAATGATTGCATTAATATCAAATTAGTGTGTTAAGATAAGTGAAACTCAATAGTTCTAATTAATATTATTTATTAAAATTAGTGAATCCCTGTTCTACTGTGTGTACTACATGACATCGTAAGTATTTTAAAGTGCCACTAAGATTAACTAAGTTAATTGATGTACGTAATTGCTTTCTTCGTTACAATTTGCAGCTTCTTAATTTAGGGTATTAAGCTCAAAGTGCGCTTAATTAAGATTAATAGGTGACATTTTATGTTTGTTTCCTCCTGATGCTCATTGATGTTCATGTGATATATTCTGCCATCTTTGACCACATCGTGCACTTATTAGTTTCGGTTTTCTCTAAATGAACGATATTTTTGCCACTTTCCACTACTTTAATTACACAGTAGGGTGAAGTTAAAAGGTAAAAAAAGTGTTTTTCACATTTTATTATTTCCTGACCAAGAAAAAATGTTTCTATTCGATGAAAGAAACACAATAAGAAAATTTAAGCTCTCGTCATCTTCAGGGTATACATTTGGTAAATAAGAAAATCCTTATTGATTTTAATGAAAATATAAAACCATTCTTTAACAATATTTTTTAATGATTTTTGTTTTCTGACCCAACATACGATTGTAATTTGTAAAACAAAATGCCGGTAAAACAGTTTAATGACTCTTCATCTTCAGGTTCCACAACAGACCCGAAGAAATTCATATTGGTGCCGTACTGGGCAAGTTCGTTCTGGAGCTTTATTCGACTACGTATGAATCAATGCCTGGCTTCTGCACCACATGTTGCCAATGGAGGTTCTGTCACCAGTCTCACATGTCTCATAACTACTTGAGTATGTGAGAATGTTCTGTTTGCTGTCTTAAGGGTACTCCCCGAAGGATACTGCCTTAGAGATATCAACGAAATGCTTTGGGTCAGTGCCGAGATCTTTTTGTTAATTCGGATAGATCAGCTGCAATAAGGACATAATCTGAGGCAGGAAAGGTTTTGTATGTTTTAAGGATTTTTCTATTGTTACAGAAAACTATTGTGGCCCAGATTTATTTCCATTAGTCTTCTGGAAAAGATGAAGAAAAGGCAGTTCATTGGTGTGCAACAAGCATAAACCAGTGCAGTTTATGACCAACAAAGATCTCAAAAAGATGCGCTTCTAGTTGACGTGATCTTAATCCAACATAAACAATGACTCATAAAGCAAGACTGAATAAACACACCGAACAACCAACTAATTAACAATAAAATGTCTGTGAAAGATCATGAAAGACACGCCCTTCCTTACCCCAAGCCATGTGATTCCTTATCAATAGTGAGATTAGAACCCGTTCTACCATCAAGTAGCATGATTTAGCACTAAATTTGATACTTTCAT